CCCCACGCGCTGTTCCCGCGCTCCCTGGGGCGGGCTTTCCCCGCTCAGGCCGGGGCCGTCCCTCCTGGCTCCGCCCCCTGTGAGTCCCTGCTCGCCTCGGCGGAGCTGCCGGCTCCTGGGCAAGGCCTGTCGGGGGCTCGAGGCTCCCTCGGTGGCTGTCGCTGCTCAGAACTGGGGCTCCTGGAGGCGGTGTTTCCCCTCGCTCCGGGGTGGAGGCTCTTCTCTGGAGCTGCTCACTTTGGCAAACGACAGTTAGTGGCTAACGATGACTGGCTTGAATCTGCCGGCGTTTCTCCTGGCGCCGCCCCCTGTGAGTCAGGTGTCTGCGGCATCTCCTCACCTCGGCTGAGTTACTCAGGTGTACTTGAAAATAACCCTAGTTCCGTTGTGGAAAATTGCGAATGGTTTTCCAGTGCTGACTATGTAAAACTCCTGGAGAACCCATCACACCTCCATCCATTTTTAGGACCTTCACTCTGGGATCCATTCTGCAATTCAGCTTGCAACCGATGAACACACAAAACCCACTTCTTACTCTGATTCTGAAGGATGGTTTTAAGAAAGTAAATTTAAAATGTTGCCTAAGTTAACACTGAAACAAAATGTATTTCCAGCTTCCATATTCTGTTCAATTGTATTATTTTCACTACACAAAATATGTGAGAGTTGTTACTGAATAATTTGAGGTACAAAAAAATTCCGGCTTTAGAAATGTATCAAAGTGAAGAAAAGTCCCCACAGTGCCAGTCTTCCATCAGCAATGACAACTGTTTCTCGTTTAGAAATACAAAATACTTACCAGTGTAGAATGTCAATACTTCCCATGTTTTTATTTAAACTTTGCAAGTTTCTGTCATGTTGTACATATATATAACATGATCTGCAACTGAGAAACAAGAAAATGGAGATTAAAACTTATTGATGGTATTAAGAAGAACTAGTTACAGGAACTGAAATAATAGTAAAAGAGAACTGCCTCTTTAAATATTTCAACAGGGAAACATTTTCCCTGGGGTTTTGAGAATCCTTCTACTACATGCATAAGCAGAAATATACGGAAATACTTTCCTTGCTGGTAACTCCATTTAAATTCCTGCAGCAAGGCTAAGGGTATAAATATAGAGAAAAATTCTTCTGGGAAACAGCGCACTAGGAAAGTGATTATCCTGTTGGTAGGAAGGCGCAATGGTGGCAGGATGGATGCAGCAGGACTTTTGCTGCATTGTCAAACCAGAATGTCTTCTGCAAACTAAGGAGATTCTTTCAGTCAACTGCTTCTACCAAAGAACTCTGGACACTTCATTCTCCTTTTTTTTTTTCTTTTTTTTTTTTTCCGTTTTTATTAGTTGTCATTCTTCAACATGATGAATACTTACAGCAGTATGTTAAAAAAGATACAGTTAAGTCTCTTGGCATCACTGCATAGCAGTCACAGCATTTTCACACAATCTAGTGCTTCCTTTCAGAATGATGCATATGGCATATATACGCACATATGGGGGCTGCTTCTTGGTCCCAGTGAAGTTGGTGGGACCAGTTTTTGGCCCATAGAGTTGTATAAGGTATGTGAATATGTATATATAAAATGCTTTACAATAAACATGACATATACAATCTTGAATTCCAAGATAAGCAGAATATATTTTACATCCAAGTCAAACTTACACTCTGCACTTTTATGTACCTAAAATATTGTATGGATTATAGAAACAAATAATAGAATAATACTTTGCACCAATCGAAGTAATTTGGATACATATTTATGGCATAAGGCTTGCCTTGAATTTGTATTTTAGAGTGGCTTTTTTGGATTTGAAGATCCTAATTCAATTTTTATTATTGATTTTTATGGGCCACGAGTGGGGGATTGTGGTGTCAAGAGGTGAAGGGGTGTACTTTATGGACAACTCAGATGAGTGACTCAAAATACAAGGCTATAAACCTGAAGATTATAACAACTTGACTGTTTTTCCTTTCTGAGGAGAGTCCATTTGGAAGAGCTGGTATGCATTCTGTCTGTTTTGTTGGAAACTTTTAATAGCAATTTCAACCACAGACTGGAAAATCTGGTGAGATAGCTATGCAGTGTGAAACAGGCGTATCTCATTTACTGTGGTAGCAGCCTTTGCACTGATCATTTTTGGAGACTTATTTTCCTCATGAAAACCAGTAGTTTATACAAAAATAATTGACCCGTGTTGTAGATCAGGTTAGATACAACTGCAGATCATGTGGTTCATTTTGTTTGTGGTTATTTTTTTTTCTTCCATAGACTCTATTTAATTTCAGCCACTTTTCTCTCCATTTCTGTATTTCAAAGGTACACATTTCCAGTATTCCTTCCCCCCCCCCCCCCCCCCTTTATCTGGTGGTTGGAACATTGGCTTTTAAAAACCCAAAGGTTGGTAAAATCTTTAGCAAAAATACGTATGTATTCATTACTTTAACCAGCCTAAAGTTTAACTTATCACCACTTTATTATTATTATTTTTGTAATTTATACAGAATTTGCCTCTTGGATAGTGTGAAATCTGCATTTTAAGTAACTAGGTTTTAATCAAATTACTTGTATGGGGCAAGCATTTCAAGCTCCTATTTTTAGCAGTTTTCTGCTTGTTTCCTGATATGAAAAACCTACCCAGGTTTTAAAACTTCAGAATATTTTAGCTGCACTGTCCCAATAAGAAAGAAAAATAATTTACAAGGGCTTTATGTAAAGTGGCTAATAGGGCTAGCAAGACAGAAATCTGTATTATCTACATCGGTGTTTTTCTGTTATGTGGCTCTAGCATTCTGTTGGCATCCTGGGAAGAAATCCCAGTACAGACATGTTCTCCAAACTAGAGAATACCAAATATGTATCACGACTGTATATACTGAGCACCGGTGTTGTTGGGTTGGCTGTATCGGGAATGGTTTCGCTTCTGCAGGAAATCAGGTGGTAAAATTCTGTATTACATACCCTGGTGAACCTGGCTGCCAAGCATCTGCTGCCAGTGCCTCACTTTTCAGCGCACCTGGCGCAAACTGGCCTAGACCCAAACTTGAGTAATGGGTTTGGCTCACAAGTGCAGAAGCATTTCTGGAGCCACACTGAACCTATTTCAAGCATTGTTTCGTTAGGGTGATTGAAATCTAGCAAGTGCGTTCAGTGCACCAAAAAAACCCACAAGTTTCAAGAGAAACTTTTCAAAGTTGGGAAGTTTTAACTTGGTAAGCACAGACTTGTAATGGGTCCTGTAGGCTCTAATTACAGGTCTTAGTTTTATTGTGGCTGTAACAGAACTTCATTTCTACCTAAGCTTTTCTGTTGGGCCCATTTTCTGGAAGCTTCTCAGAAACAGCTTAACATCTGTCAACAGCTTTTTATGCTGCTAGACACTAGGTTTGTTTAACAAAACTTCAGAAGGTTTAAAAAAGAAAATGGCTTCCATTTTTTAGTAAAAAGACAAAACAAGGGAAATTACATCCTTTCGTATGTACTTAAGTGCTTCTAAGCAGCATTTTACACTGCTTGGATATCATCTTAATAATTGTCCCAAATCTGTCAGAACGCAAAATACACATAAAAAGCTTCAAAGTGGTAATGTTTCCACCCCCACCATTAGGTGGTTAAAAAGACATTTATGCCCTGTAGTTAGAAATAATTTTATTCTACTACAACTCTGTCTCTTTGCTTGGCATGGTACTTCTAATATGTGAGTCCCATTGAGAAGAGGGAGGAAGAAGAATGTTTTCTACTGCTGATAGCTTACAGAACAGTAGAGAAAAAAAAATTGTACTCAGGATGCTTTGTGTTCTCACAGTGATTTCCATCTTCCTGCTTCACTGGATTTCAGTCTCTCTAAAGATACATGGCCAATGAATTAGTAGAGTAAAATATTCTTTACTAAAACTTACTTATGCTTTTTATTTTCCTTTAAACATATGAGTCATCTTCTAAGCACTTTGTCTAATCAAGTCAATATTCCCTGTAACTGAGAAAAATTACATTGTGTTTCCCCTTGCATGCCTATGAGTAAATACTAATTTTCTCAAACACCAACTTAAATAGCTCTTTCTTTGTTGGCCTCTACCAGGTATTCACATCCAGATGTGACTACATGGCCATATCTGCTAATTCTTTTGGAAAACTGCTATACAGGTTTGATGTACTGGGGCTTTACACCACCACCATACTTTACCTAAATGTAATTAATTTTTCTGGGGGCAGAGGTGAAGGGGACAATTGCTTTGGTGCAATGCAGTAGTGTCTGAGAATACAATCTCATTGAAATGATGGAAGCTGAAGTAAAGTTTTATAAAGACTATTCCAGCTGAGGTTGTTCATGGCATAGATAAGGCCATGGATCTTTCACAAGCACAAGACTATAGAAAATTCCTCAGCTGCTATGATTGTTAAGAGGGTTTTTCTTGATACTCAGACGACAGCCCATTTTTTTCCTTCATTGAGACTAATCTAAAAATCAGTTGTATATTTTTTAATGAAAAGAAAAATACAAATGCATTTTGATGCTGGCTATCTTAGGAGGGAATGTGGGGAAACATCTCTCAAGAAAACAGTTGGACTCCAGGATTATTAGACTGCTATGCTTTGTAGACCACTAAGCTATTTAATGAAAAATCAAGCTCTCGAATAAATGATCATCCGGTCAAACTGTTAAATTATATGGTGGTGTTGTTGTTTTGTTTTGTTTTGTTTTGTTTTTTTTTTTTAACTTAAAACTACAGGCTCTGTGAAGCTTTTGCCTAGGCCAAATGTGCAAGGTGCCATGGATTAAAACACTGACCCATATGGAATGTGTTTGAAGTTTTCAAGAAGTTATCCTGCCAGACTTCATTCCTTAATGACCTTTGATACACCTTGGGTAGTGGAAAGGCAGTTCAGAATCATATTTTGTGATCATATGATTTTGGCAGCTATCAGAAGATGAAGTATGCTAAAAGTTAAGGCTTTTATCCACAAACAATTGGTGTATATTAATAAACTCTATACCATATTTACAAATGCTTTCTCTTGTATTAAAACTAACAGTATTCTGTTCACAGTGCCAATGTTTTTACAGGTAGCAATCCCACAGTACTCCAGTATTTTGGCATGGGAATCAGTAGCGCTTTGTATTTACAGAAAATGTACACATGAATATAAACACGTTACTTGAAACAGTACTCAAAAGATACTTCTGTTTGTGTTTCAAAGGTTTAGACTGTACAACACCTTCCCTTTTGGTTGCGAGGGAATACTGTTCCTTGCAATGAGAAGATGCCTGTCTTTTATCCAAAGTGGCATAAAAATGATTACCAAAATGAGCCTTGTTACACTGGAGTTGTGTATACACAGAGTAACTTCAGTCCAAGGTTTATAGATCTTGTTTAGTGCACAGAATACAAAAGTTAAAAAGGTTTTTGTTTTAATTACTAAAATAACCAGACTCTCTCTGCCCTCTGTGAACGCTGTCTCACTCAGCCAGTGTCCTCTGGATGCTGAAGATGCTGGTGGTTTAATGTGCAGCCCAGCTGCCAGCTTGGAAAGCGTACAGTGCACTGGGCCTATATACATATGTCACAGTATGACTCATGGTAAATGACTTTATAACCAAGAGTGCCTCTAGTTCCCCTGTTCTCTCAGGAATCTTCCCTGCTTCACGGCAGCCATAACCAGCCCGGCTTCAGTACTGCTGACTGGGACTCTGCATTCAGGCAGTTCGTGATCAGAAGTGATGAACGGCACCAGGCATGCACAGAATGAAGAGAGGGGAGAGGAACATGAAGGAGATCCAGAAGTGAATCCAGCAGAACTGTGGGCTTGTTTGCAGTGACCCTTACAGCTTCTGCTTTGCCATTTCTTCCCTTTCCATGGTCTTGACAACCGGCTTCTAGCTCCCCAGGGTGAGTGCTGTGATCAAGACGGAGATAGCAGTGCTATGAACAAAAGTGCAAAGTTGCCACTAAGGAGTCTCTTCTTCATTCAAAGTCTGTTCTTGGCTGCCAGTCACTTGACCTGAGTGGTCATTGCTCCTACTACTGCTGTGTTGCTTGTGGAGCAAACTCCTCCACTTGGCCTTGTTCCTCCTGAGATGGTTTAGCATGTTTTCAGATAGGGGAGTATCACCTGTAAACTGGGCCCACCTTTCAAAGAGTGGCTCTACAATGTACGTCATGAACCCTGGGGAAACACACAAAAGACAGCAGGTGAGGAACAAATTCATCACATGAGTGCATTGCACCACAGAATGTCTCAAGAGGATACAGCAATGTAAGTGGCAAAAGCTCTGACTAGAAGTAACAATAAAGCCGCAAGCAGTCATCAGTTCCTTATGAAAGGCACAGCTTTTGACCAGCTCATATGACAAAATGTGTCTGTATGTGTATGTGTAACAATACAGTCTGTGAGAGACAGCATCCTTCTCTGAGGAGATTTCAGACTAGAAAGCAACCAGTACTTAATCACACACCGGCTGCAATTTTTCTCCACAGATATTAGAATGGTCCCCTTTTTGCCTATACAATGACTCCTTTGTCTTTCAATTGCATATTTGGCTTGGGTAAGGTTTATTTTTTAATATTTTGTTTAGAATGTGAATTGTGACTCTTATGATACCTGCAGTTCTTATTGTTAAAACAACCAGATGGGGGGAAGTTTCTCTTTGAGCTTGTGCCATACTGAGATGAGGCAGACATGGGGAGAAGAGAATGGAACTAATACTTACCGATCTGTATGCTTGGTATTGTATCCTTCTGTTGATTACAAAGGGGGCTTATTTCCAGTTCAAATTTTTGTTCCAGGTCACCTGCAGGGAGAAAGAAGGGAAGGTAGATTTATGCCACTTTCATCTCTTCTCCATACCTATACCAGATATTTACAGTGACTGCAACTGTGTGGATTGGATCAGCTGGAATCTTACACCAATGACAACCACATTAAATGTCTAAATACTTTTTTTTTTTTATTTTTCTTTTTAGGTCTCAGAGAAACTGAGTATCCATACAAAGAAAAATTCTTCTAAGGAAAGATGACTTTTGAATGAACATTAAATCCACTGCTGGCAGTCCACAGCTGTGTGTGCACTACCAAATAAGGGCCAGAACATGGGGTTAGGCAACTTGTGTTTATGTGTCAACAACTATGGAATTAAAGTTATATATGTGGAAGAAGGATGAAATTAGAAGTTTGATTTATTATTGTGGTGTACGTGGGTATCAGGGCTATGCCTATGCCATTGCATAGTTTTGACTTAAATGCTAGTGTGCTTACTCAGGTTCTATAGCCCTGTATAGAATACGAGAATACCATGTGCACTTTTAAGCCTTGCCCTTCCTCTCTCAGCAGCATGCAATTTCTTCTTAAATGTGAGGGGAATATTTTCAATTAGATATTTAGAAAATATCAGGGAAACACTTCTGGCTTCCCAAACAATCAAAAGCAACAATTCAGCAAAACAGACAAAATAACAGTTTGTCATGTTTCCAAATGTGCAGTTCAAATGTCTTCCTTTTCTCCTCTAAAAATATTTGATTGAAAAAAAGAGTGTCTCCACTCCAGTGGACACATAACCCATGGATGTCCCCTCTAGGTATTCTGAATTGAAAATGGTTGACCTGTCTGGCTCAAAGTGTATCAATATGTTCTTGTCTTCGACAGGTCATTTAATTGACAGGAGTAAGGTTTTTCCTTTGCATGGTAAGAACTTAAATGATGGTCAATTTTCTTATGCTTCGAGTTGCTATAAAAGTAACTGCATGAATTAGTTGTGAGAGCTTTCATGCTGGAGAAAGCCTTCCAAGCAATTTTAAATCCTCACCAGAAAAACTGTTCATTAATGTTGCTTAGATATTAGCCACTTTCTTGAATCAATCTTGAATTGTTTCTCGCCAGTTCCAATTTTATATAAACAGACCGAATTGCATTACTTACCTCATGTTCCTAATTGGCTGTTAAAACATCTGAGAAAGCTAAAGTATTTTTTCTAGGAAAAGTTTGTGTTAGGAGCTGCTGTAGGCATCAGGTGCTCCTTGGAATGTACCTCAGTTGTGTATTTTATTTGCTAATAGAGGTAGTGTAGATGCACTAGATGACTGGAAGATCAGGATCTGAGTCTCTATTAAAATGGCATTAGAAATGTTTCATACAAAAGATGTTAAAACTTTGTATGCCTTCCAGAAGGAAGATTTAATAAGGCACTAATTGTGGTATTACCTGCCCCATCTATAATTAAAACATAAGTGCTATGGTTTTAAAATCTTTAACTTGATGACAAAAAGCCCAGCATTGTTTGTAAGGGGGTAGAGAGGTCTACAATAACATTTTAAAGTGGTATGTTAATGCTAGTTAATACTGATTTTGTATCACTTACCAGGATTATCCAGCCACCAGTGATAGTCAGACCACAGTTTATGCATATTCTCCCACATGAATGCTTTTTCTCCCTGTAATGCCTCTAATTGGCCTCATATGCTCCAGTGTCCCCTTTAGGAGGTATATTATATTTTAGATACTATACCAATAAATCTTGAGTCCTGGGGAAAAACCTCTTTGTAAGAGTTGGGAGTGCTGCCTTTCTCAGCATGGTCCCTCAATGCACTCAAGGTGAGTTATCGCACAACTGGGGCCTTGTCCTCATGAGCTGGATATTGATTATACATCTGACTAAATAACCTTGCATCTGGCAAATTGCTTATGTCGCCTCAAAAGCATCAAAGGCAAAGACATTTCACCAGCCTAAATTGACACTGGCTGAACATTAACTTACTGATCTATTTGTCCTTGTTATGGACTAACTGTACCAGGTACCAGCTCTTATGTGGCTTAATTGCGTACTGCAGAATTTTAAATGAACTGTGTGCTCTTCCAGTGTTAGTGCCACTTGCCTTTGGCTCTCAGGATGCTCCAAACAAAGAATTTAGCAGTGATTAAACTCTGCTGCACCCTGTGCTGTAGCACAGCATGACCTTGCCTATGCACATAGTGCCAAATGGTGTAATTACTGTGTTTCAAAAAAATCCCTGCCTGACTGCACTCTCTGCGGGGGTTTGAAAATATTTGCAATAGGTCCTAGCCGAGCTTTGGCTTGTCTGCTTTGGCCCTTTCAACAGCGCACTGGGAAACACATTTGAACCCTTTCTCTGCATTTGTAGGCAGAAGAATGTGTCATATTTGGGAAACAGCGAGGGTAAGGCTCCCATCAGAGCTGTGGCAGAAGCATGAAAAGCAAGATAAAACATAATGGACAGCAGTAGGATTTTCGTACAGTGTAGTCCTGGTGCTGTTTCAGCTCAGAAACACTAATGGTCAGAGAAGAATCCAGCTGTGGGCTCTCTAGCTGAATTCAAGCACTGAGGCACAGCAGAGCCTTTCCTCCCTCTTGACACTGCTACAGGAGCAGTGAGGGCAAAGAAATACTTGATGCTTTTCTACCTCTTCTCACTTCTAAAATAAGGCAGAGTTTCTCTTCAACAGCTTGTTCTTGAGGGACATCTGAAGGCAAACTGGGTAAGCTGAATGCTACCTCTGCCTTGCCAGACAAAAAGCCTGGCAGGCCGAGGAGAAAGGGGACTGCCACGTGTGAAGGGGCTGACCTTGCCGGTAAAACTCTTCGCAGACCCGTTCGCTCCACTGTTTGCTCAGATCCCAGAGCCGGCAAGGGTTGCAAATGTCAGCGCACTTGAGCGCAATCTGAAAGCAAAGAAGATAGATTAGGGGTGAGGAAATATGTTACTGTCCAGCAGTGCTTCAGCAGTCAGTCAGCAGTCATTAAACTCCCAAGCTTCAGCAGTGATGTTGGGAAGGGTTAAGATAGGGTTAAGATCACCTTTTAGAGATGCAGCCTCATCCAAATAAGCCTTGTGAGGAAAAAGCATTTATTTAAGCAGCAAACAAAACTTTCATTCAGCCCTCTGCTTTACTGTAGTGAGAACAAGAGGAGGGCCAAATTCCAAAGATGCAAAGTGTTTTGGTTATTTCTTGCAAGGAGTAAGCCAACAAAAACCTCAGGCTGGCTCCTGCTGACTGCCTGGCTCAGTACCTATGGCTGATGACAAGGAAGGGAAGAGCCAAGCTGGTGTATTTGGGCATCATTTCTCTGTGGTCTCAGTGAGTGACCTTGTATCTCACTTCAATTACACTTCATCTTAATGTCTGCATATTTCTGTTTACAAAACAAAGCACAGGGCTCTCTGTACTGCCCCTGGCTTGGTTTCACTGAGTTAACTAGTACTTTTAAGTGCTTTGCAGGAGAATGAGTACAGGAGGGCAAGAGGTTTTTAAAATCAAGTAACTGCTTCAGAAAAGTAAACCATGTAATAGTCCATCTTACTGCCTAAGAACAAGATGTCATGTGCCTCATTTCTTCACTGAACACAGTCAGTTACCCTGACAGAGGTCAGAAATCATTCTGACACCTGAGAGGAAAGCGTAAGAAATATCTCCTGTATAACTTCAGACCTGAAAACTGGAGGAGGGAAGTCTCCAAGTCACTTTTTTCTCTGGATTAAATTGATTAGCCTGAATGGTACTGTCACTAGGACCTTTACTGTCACAAGAACCTTTCAAACATTCTTTAATTTATCTTGATCAATCAACATTTTCTGAAATTTTTTCTATTCCTTCTTCCACAACTAATTCACTAAATAAGTGAACCTCACCATGTCTGTGCCCTAGTTCCTATCTTCAAGAAAACAAATAAGAAACTTTCTGCCATAGTTGAGATCTGTAATCCCTCTGCATTTGGCATTTGCACAGCTTTCTTGCCTGATCTGTCCAGAAATATGATATGCCCATTATCCTGCCCTGCATAGTCCATTCAGAAATCTGACACAACACTGTGTTGGATGGAGGACAGGTGAGTAGATTACTACATTTCCCATGCTGCTGGAGGTGGAAGGATTAACAAATCAGTACTTCCTTCCTTGCAATTGGCACCTTTCCTGTAACCTTGACAAATTTATAACATGTAGATGTTTGTTTTCTAAATGATAATGATTACTTAAACTCCTTTATGTATTTAAGAGTGAAATTAATGTTGTTTCTCCAGAGAAGCAGGTATATGAAGCTATTTTAGTCAAAATAATGCTTCATTAGGTAGAATTTTATTCTGAAGAGCCCGTTAATGACCACAGAAGAACCAGCCTGAATCTATCTGATTTCTGAATAAAGCATGGTTTCTTCATTAGCTGGGTAGATCCACTGGAGAAGCACCTGCTGCCATGGCAACAGCTGTCTCTGCAGAGGCAGTTTCCAAGCATCCATCCCAGGAACAGGGTTGGGCATGTGGTGTCAAGCTGGCTTGGAAAGAACACAGACAAGGGGGCTCTCCTGCACAGTGCCAGCAAATAACACCAGTGAGGTAGTGTCTGCAGAAGAGAGAATGTGATTGAAGCAGTATCTGGCAAGAGAAACAGTGGTCTGGAAATAAAATAAGTAATAGCTTATCTTCGTTTCCCAGCAATTGACACTCTCCTCTATCTGTGCATGCACAGCTTTTTAACTGAAGGAAATTACATAAGGAAGTACTGGAGGTTCCTTATGCTTGCCTGACATGCCGGGTGGCAGAAGGAAAGTGTTTATGGTGATAGGTGAGGAGATGATGATGTCCAGACACACTATCGTATCACTATTCTAACACATACTAGGAGCTACTGTGACTTGAGAAATTAATAAAAAATGAGAACGGAAAAATATTTTTTTGACATTACCTGAAGCATAAAATGTCTGTCTTGAGCATCCTCCAGCCTCAAATCCTGATTGTCGAGGTGAGATTTCAGACGGATCAGAAACTCATTCTGCCTGTTGATGTCTGTTGCCAAGATCAGGGAGCCCAACTGCTGCTCGATGTCCTGTCTACAGTTAAGCAAAATAATCCCCTTCAATCACCAAACCACTAGCTCAAAACAATCTGCTACAAATCAGAGCTACCATAAAGATTCTCTTTCTTTATGGATCCAATCTGACCTCTTTGGTCAGTCTCTGCTGGGGTTTGTGGGGCACGACTGATCTAACTGCCTAAATGGGTTCAGAAGGAATAGATAACATAGGAGAAAAATGCCTGTTGGCATAACTGGTTCTGAAAGCTTCTGAAAAGTACTAGGAAAGTGAAAAAACCCAAACAAACCCAAACCACAAAAAGAAACCAAAACCAACAAACCCAAAACAACAGCATAAAGCCTCTAGAAAAATGGTCACATCTTAGATGCTCAGAGCTAGGTGGTGAATACTGCAGCTTTGAAGTTGTGAAGGACTAGACTGGAGTCCTTTAAAGTACAACTGATGTTATTGGTCTTGTGCACAGGATTTCTGGAGGGATATGGAGCTTATTGCTTGTTTATATTCTCAGTAAGGTCACCTGTGATTAAAATTTTGTATTGCAGGCTGTTCACTGGCTCAGTCTCTACTCCTAACACTGCACAAAACCAGCAGGTAAGAAGTTAGCATCAACCTGGCCAAGGTGCACGCTGCTGCTTTTTTTTTTTTGCTTCACTTGAAAAGATGGTGAAGACTGAACCACGCCTCCTGAGCAGTCCTGATGCTACTTGACCAACTGCTTTATTTTTCTATTTAATGTTTTTTAATACCTAAATCTTTCCATAATTGGTTGGTGCTATGTAAAATGAAAAATACCAACAATGGTCCTGAAAAGGTCTGTTCCTGCTGTGACTCCCAGTGTTCCTCACCCTGACAGTGGCAATTCCTGTGCTGCAGAAGTGGCGAGGTCTTAGAAAATAGCGCTGCTGTATAACCTTGTCTCAGGATTTCTTACTGGCACAAATTGAGGACAGTAAGTTCAGCCTACTCTGAAGCCTGGGCCTCTGCCATTGTCCTTCCAAGAAGAGTAAAGGAAGCCACAGGCTAGTTTCAGTGATGCAATTCTTCCAGTGGACACTTACGTCACCTCCTTGGGCAGGTGAGCGAGGAGCCGTGACTCTCGAAGCATGCCTATCGTTGACCGCCAGTGATGATTTTCTAGCACTGAAACATTCTATGGAGGAGTAAAGGGAATAAATTCAAGGATTAGGCATGTATCCATGGTACAGACACAGATTTGCTGTATCACACAATGCCTAGAGCAGGCTGGAAGTGCTGAACATGAGCCTAAAATGTGTGCTTTTTAGCACACGCTTGGACTTGAGGAACTGGTCTGGATTTCCACAGTTAAGAACCTTGTGCTTCCACGTTTCCTAGCTAAGGTCAGCCCTAGAGTCCAGCTATGAACAGAGGAGCTAATCTCATCTGAGTGGGAGGTAGCTTGCATTCTAACAGATTTATTAACAAACTAAAGTGCAAAATCGTATTTTTACCTCCTACTGATCCCAGATTGACTTCTCAGCTTCTAGAGTTTGAATGCAGAGTGGACAAAAAAAAAAAAAAAAAAGATAAACTGCCAAATTTCCCTTGGAATAAGGGAACTGGAAGCTGTCTGCAGCTGCTCTGTGAAAGCAAGAAGAGGATCAGTATCACTGAGCATCTGAGCATCTGCAGGCTTCAGCAGCTCAGCCTGCAATAAATTTTGAGTCCTTTTTGTTTGTTTGCTTCCAACTAAGTGGAACCAAAGTTAGGTCAGAAAAAATTCCTAAGGAATAGAAACCCAGCTTCCTAGGTTGTCTGTAAATTACAACAAATTGGGTATCTTGTGTCTGATGACTTTATATTACTATCCTAACACACAATGCATTTGCCAATCATCACGCATTTAATTCACAGAATACTTTTTACCACTGAACGCCTCAAAAACATCACTTGTTCCAAAACCCCTAACACAATTGTAATTCACAAAAGCATCTGCTTGCTGCAGAGAAGTGGTCCCGTGGAACACCCCTCCAGTGAATGGCAGAGTCCTCATATATCCACAATGTGCCCAGTGTGAGGGAGACAACTGTCACCTGACACCAGGGATACTCTCAGGGGAGTTGTGGCATTTCATCCCTGTTTTGGGCAGTTCATGACTTTTGTGGTAGATAAGCACTGGATTAAAAAAAACCCAAACCAATAAAACTTTTTGGGCAGGTAGCAGAGGAAGGACTCCACCCTGTCACTGCCAGCTGGGAAACTAGAGTCAGAATCCCCCTCTCTGGCCACTGTTAATGTCTGGCTCCCTTCTGCAGGGTCCCACAGCACTGCGAGGTAGCTGTGGTAGTACTGCCTTTCCTGTTGGATGTGACACACAGCTTCCACTTCTTTGAGAAGGGCTGAACAGTATTTTCTCCTTAAGGCTTTCCCATCCTCCTTGGTAATTCGGTCAGATCTGGTGACTGTTGGAACACTAAACACTGCCAGCAACCAAGATCCAATCTGGATTTTCATCATCTTGTCAGTATTTTTCTTGAAATTTCATGCTCAAAATTAGTGCAAAGGAGAGACCAAGGTGAGAGCACGAATTGGATTGATTTCTTATTATGATATTTTCTGCAGTACATTCTGTTGCTTTTGATTTCATACAATCACTGATATGTTGCCTTTGTGTGTGTGGGTTTGGGTTTCGTTTGTTTGGTTTTGTTTGTTTCCCTACCCCATGGATACTGGGGTAAAAAACAAAACCAACCTCAAAACTTTCCAAACATGCAAAGATTAAGTCCTTTTCCTTGGAAGAGCTGACAGACTCAGAACTCAGGATCAGCTGTGCAATATCTGCTTTTGACAGGAATTTTGTTCATCAGCCAACTTAAATATCCCTCTTCTCTTTTTGCCTAAGTACATCAGGATGGACTTTTGCACCCCTAAACTCTGACCAAGAAAAATAAGAGAATGCAATAGGACATAACAACAGATTTTTTGCTTCTTTTACCTCCCCAGTGGAGCTGAATCCTGCTCCCAACAGTCACCCCAAGCCCTACCTACCTACCATCTTCCTACCCTAATGTAAATTAGACATATTCTGCCTGTCAGCTTTATTTTTTGGGAAGCCTTACGTTTGTTTAAGACAGTGCCTGTATGCATCCATAGAGGGTAATTCCCTAGTCTGACTGCACCCTTGAAACATCCCAACTGGGGAAATCCCCCTCAGAGCACCCTGTGCCCCCACATCCTGTCCAGCATGGCAGTGTTCCTTGCTGGGAGGGAATGCTTCAGCAGCAGCTACCTCCACTAGGGAATTGCCTTTCATGGATGCAGTTGCTCTTTGGCCACGCTGAAGGCCAGCCTGAATAGGGCTGAGTGTGTAGACATCCAAGAATTTTCTTGCATCCAACTAATAATTACTCAAAAGAAAAAGCAAACTCAAGTATCCATCTCAGAGTATTTCAAATTCTGTAAGTTTTTGCTCTTTGCCTGTTGCTATAGGGGGAACTTAAACTGAAGCTGCTGCACTGTCTAGTGGAGGAGAGAAAAGAAAAGGTCAAATTAACAAGCAGCAACTGAGCATGAAGTCATATGACTCCCTCTTAAATGTAAGCAGCCAGAATCCTTGGAGCTGCTGACAATAATTAGTAGAGTCAGCTATTCCACCTAGGAACACTCTACTGCCTTATTAAGACTAATTGCCATGAGCTACCTGATTGCCTAGGCTGGTGGGGAGATAACCCATGCAGGGAAAAGTCTATGTGCCAGCCTGCAGATTGGGGTTCTTAGCTCTGCTTGCCCATAATTTTCCTTTTTTTTTAAACTTAGTAGCTCAGGTTTGCTTTAAAGGCTGCATACTAGGAAGCCTCTGTCACATCTAATGCTTAAAACTACTGGACTGCTATAACAGAAGGCTTCAGGACTGTGATGAAAAAATGTTGGGTTTTTTTTCTTTTTTTTTTTTTTTTTTTTTTTTACTTAGACCATCACATAATCTCCAATCTGTGCTTTTCCCTGAGCCACTCAAACCACCACACTTGACACATTTGGAAAAGACTAATAACTTTAAGAGAAGACTATTTTCTAGGTACAGAGAAGACTTCCATTTCAATTCAGAGTGGAAGGGAATTTAAATTTCTTTCAATCTGGTCATCTATTCTTAGTCACTGAGCAATTGGATTAGCTACACAATATTAAATCCCTGGAAATGATATTTTAATTAGAAATTTAAGTAATGCTTAGTCTGATCAAGGACTTCTCAATCTCATGCTCTGCCAGGGAGGAGGGGCACAAGAAGCCAGGAGGAAGCAGAGACAGGACACCTGCCCCAAGCTAGCCAAAGGGGTATTCCATACCACCGCATGTCATGCTCAGTATATAAACTGGGGGGAGGCATCCTGAAGTCCCAGACTGCTGCTCAGGTTGGTCTGGGTATCTGTCAGTGGCTGGTGAGCAATTGTATTGTGCATCACTTGTGTTTATTGTTTGCTTTTCCCTTCCCTTTTTAGTTTCATATTCTCTCCCTTTGTTACTTCCATTATTATTATTATTATTATTATTATTATGAGGAGGAGGAGGAGGAGTAGTTTTATATTATACCTTAGTTATTGGACTGTTCTTATCTCAGCCTGTGGGGTTTACATTCCTTCGATTCTCCTCCCCATCCTGCCTAGTGGGGGGGGGGGGGGACAAGGAGGGGTTGAGTGAGAGGCTGCGTGGTGCTGAGTTACCAGCTGGGCTTAAACCATGACACCTTGTTTTGCAAAATTTTTCTTCCCAGATGTAAAGTTCTAATTTAAATGTACAAACAATCACATGCAAAGAGACACCATAAACAAATAACCCTTAGCCTCAGTTACTACTGTTTCAGTGAAAAAAGTCTGCCAGCTATGTTTAAACTTACTTTTGTTTGATCATTTTTCTGGTTAGTCCCAGCACTTCTGTGGCTCTGCTACTTAAAAACCAAAAATACTAGAACTTTTTTGTTTCTGTTTCAAGCACATGTTAAAGCACTAATATTGAGAAGAATATAACTTATTGTTTTCAAGACTATTCACTGAACCTAAATTTTTGACTGGAAACATTTTCAGCTAAACTTTTTCCAGCATTGTTATTTTTACTGGCATCCATTTACTGCATACTACTAAAATCTTCAGAAACAATCTGGGATCAATTTCAGATAAAATAAGTCAAACTTACCACTGAAGGTCCCTAAATAGGATACTTATCAGTCACATTTGCTGTTGAAAGATTGCATTTTCTGTATTGTCAGTGCCTTTCTAACCAACATTTGAAAGTATATTCAAGCCCAGTTAGCTGAGCAGAAACCACCTTTCCAAGATACTAATATTTTAGCTACATTTCTTTCACAATAGTCTGAATTTTCATCCTAATCATATATTACTGTTTCCCACTATGAATTTGAGAGGAGTTGTATACATTTTCAGAGGACCAGGGGCTTTGTGGAATGGCTCTACCCACTCCTCTTCCAAGGACCCTTAACATAACCTTGCCAAAGTCCCCTGGTTTAGTCCCTGGCTTTTCTCCCTCCCTACTCAGCTGGCCTGATAGAAAAGACTACAGCAAAACACACCAGACACGTGTGTGTATGAATTCATAAACTGCATCAGCTTGTGACGAGTCACAAAGTTTTAAGTGTCTAAGCACCACTGTGCCCTGGCCGGGGTTCCCACTGTACAGACTGCTTCCTTTTCTCAGGGCAGGATAGCTGCATTTCTTATGGGAAAACCCAAACGTTGCTTGAGTAGGGAAAAACAAGAGAGAATCTCTTCAAGCAGTAAGCACATCACAGCAAACTCTCAATTTCCTAAGTATGTGTAAAAAGGTATGTAACTATTAGTGAATCCTCAGTTATTCATCTAAACTTGGGATACTCTGTTTCTGACACCCTGTTACAAAGGATGAAGCTGACTCTTCCAAAGGCTAGAAATCAATACCACCTCCATTTATTGCTACAAATTACAGTGATTTATGGCATTGCTCCAGCACGTATATGTAAGTATAATGTACAGAACAGAGATGTGCATACATAGTAACGTATACATGCATGCAAAGATTATACACATAGAACAGCTGTGGATAAAATCCAGAGCTACAGTGACTGCCAGAGGCCAGAACTACAAATATACTCAAAAAGGACCACAAAAGTCAGGGCAGGATGGGAGGGTATCTGTTTTTGTTTCAGGAAGTCTTCTACCCATGTTTGCCAGAGCTGGGAGGACATATACCAGGTGAAGGACCAATCTACACTTATCTCAGGCCTATGTTTCTCTCTGAGATCTTTCACTGACTGCTGTTAGAAACAGGATAATGGTCTAGACAGCCTGTGGTGTGACTTGGTGTCTGTTTTTAAGTTCTTTCTTTGTATCTCCAGGCATATTAGGGTCAATAGCTACAATTTTTCCTCTGGTTTCCTCTATCTTCTTTTTTCTTTTTTTTTTTTTTTAAATTGAAGTATTCATTAAGTGTTTAATTTTACTAGAACCACATGAAGTAAGCTTGTTTTGATGCAATGCCAATTTAGAACATGCCTGCTGCTTACTTGCTCACTGAAGGAAGAAGAAATACAAATTGTCTTGCTATGATTTTAAATCTCTTACCCACCGTCCCTTACCCCAGGTGATCCACAGAAGAAATAACCTAGGCAGCCAACTTGGTTTAAACATGCTCAACAAAATCTGACATTTCCACCTTCCTTATCATGTGTATCAGCTCTGCTGTTAAGAAGGACACCCAGTGCTGAACTTAACTGAAATTGTCCAGGTTCTGAAGTGCAGGTTGATTTGATCAACATCCCTCTGCCACCAGATTTTGGCATTAAAGTTCACTGCAAATTGCTTAGACTCTCTTTGACATCATTTTACATATTATCAACTCGATGAGCAGTTTTACCTGGTACAGGCTGGCAAGGTGGTGTTTAGTTTTAATCAGAAAGGGTTGGTTGACCCCCGGATGATCCACGTCATGGGCTGCAGCAGCCAGCAGTCCGAGCATGATGTCCAACGGGGTGAGGAAGTTGGCAAGCTGAATGACACACATTAATCACAACAAGAACATGAACAGCAAATACCTTTTTTTTTTTTCTTTTGGCAAATAAGCCAATCAGCTGACATCGTGGCATTGCTCAGTTTTGAAGGCTTTTGTACACAAATGTCAAATATTTAATAAATTTTGTAAACAACATTTTAAAGGTGACTGTTGAACAAACATCTATAAAGATATCAGACTATATTACTCATATTTTATTATAGTTTTTGTTATCATCATTCATGGCATTATAGGGATTGTTGTTATAGAAGTGCTTGAGCATAGTCTAAAAGCTTCAGTTTAAAAAAGTAAGTATTCTAGCAGATTGGTGTACGTTAGCATACATGATAAGAGCTCTGTTTCACACCGTGTTTAGTAATACCAACAGTACATCAGGCTTCATTTTTGTAGTGCAGCACTGTGTTGTAAAATGCAGTTTGTAAACTTTTGAAATTTCAAACTTGGCTGTTAGCAACTTCAGTTCAAATATAAGTACTTTACTGGAACGTAATTTAATTTTCTAGCTGCAGACATCCACATTTGAAAACCTGCCCAGATTTTTTTCTTCTATACCACTTATCATTCAGAAGCAAATTTTGTTATCATTGGCGAGGAAGAAAAAAAAAAGAAGTCTTGGCATTTTCTGTTTCTCATGGTGACGTAGTTATTACCGGCCTGATGAGTCTGTACAGAGTACAGCATTCTGAGGTGAGAAATGAAAAGCAGTGTGGTACTCTGGATGTTGGCTGTCCTTCACACTTCTTGACAGAAGGCACTCGCAGATCTTGCAGGAGATGGAAATACAAGAAAGCTCTAGCCTGCTCCTGTCCTCATTTACCATTACTATATTCTGGCCTAACAATTTGCTAATTCTAGCAGAACTTCCTTTCACTTAAATTAAGCCAGGAAAGATTAGCTATATTGTTATACTGTGGCTCAGCATTACAGTATTATGGTGCATTCCAGTAACACATAAAGCAACGTCATATCCTCATGTTGTGAGGGCTTGCTGAAGCTGCTGTTTACTCATACAGAGGATACCCTTGCAACAGACCCAGTCTAAAGGACTGTCCCCTTTTCTGGTGTTGCCCTGCCCGATTTGTTATTTTGAAATACTGATGTGAGAGGCTTATGTCCTGAGGCACGGGCATGCGTTGCCTTCTGCTGGCTCTGATGGAAGGACTGCAGCCACTGGTGGGGGGCTGGTACACATGGTCATGGCAGCTCATTCAGCATCGGTTTGATACATCACCTGCATGATGTGAAGTGACTAGTATCTTGTTTGAAATGTCTGCAGTCTGTAGCTGACTCTGCTATTGACTGGTTGTTGACTTCAAGCCCGCAAACATTTTCTGCTATCTAAAAATAGCTGCTTTTATATTTTCTTTTCAATCTTGGGGAAACAAATTGAGAATTATCTGAAAGCAAAATAAGTGTGAAAGGTCATTACCTTGGGCTCCCTCAGATAGCAGTGCATAGCTTGGGTGACATCAGCAGCATGGACAGCATTGTGGTATGGGTTTTGGCTATGGTAATCTTCTTGAACCATAACTGAGAACCAAAACAGAAAACAAAGATCCTTTTGTCTCTGAATACCACGGCCACAAGTGGGAACTGGATTTAAAGTACAATTGAGGTTTTGCAGTCAACTACCTAAGGAGTTTCTTCAAATAGCTGTAGCTTACTTAGACTGGTGCTCTTATTGGGATACCTTTAAACAAAAAATGAATGACAGGATTTGTGAGGCCCAAGGGGATATACCGGGTCTAGTTAATAAATCAACTCTTTCTTACCTTAGTGAAGGCTCTCATTCAGGAGTAAAATAAATAAGGAAGAGAGGCAAATTCATCCACAACGGAGTGTAATTATTTAGGCTGGTGTCATAAGGGAGTAATATGTCATTAAGGCAGTACCACCTATTTTACAGCAGCAGGAGGCGAGGCCCTGATATCCTGGCATCATTTGTTATTTGAGTGACTTAACTACAGTCAAAGGCATTCCTACATCCTCCAGGGAGAGAATCAAAAGATACAGCTTTGGAGTATTTGGAGCAAAATCCTGTGATAATTTTAGTCACGTCTATGTGTTAATTTTAAAACACCACTCACTCATATTTTGGTTTGCAGTGCTGGAACTGGTCCAGCTGGACCAGAAGCACCAATCTTTTAACTCTCAGCTTTCGCTTGTACAGAAAATCATCGAGGTGTGCGCTTCAGACTCATATGTTCCTCAAGACAGTACCTGCACCATTAGGTGGTCTTAGGGCAAGAGCACATGAACACTGTAAACTGCAGGTGGTCTTGCCCAAAGCACTCTCCTAGACACTATCAAATTAATCAAAGAGAAAGGTAATGGGCAAATTTCCCATGGCACTTATCACCAGCATGGGGGACGCCAAAGAAAGTCCCAGCCTTCAGTTTGTTTCCAGCTCCACAGGCATCTGAAGTTACGGTGGGTAATCCTTTAAACCCTGAGTACCACTAGCTCTAATTATCTGAGTGTCCACTTCATGGCTGCCCACAGGAGTGACAAACAGCAGGGAGATTCTGTCTGTCTCCACACTGGAGGAATGCTTTCCAAAAGCGACAATTAGGCAGTCTTAAAGAAGAGACCCTGCCTTGGAAACTCCGCCTCACAGCCTAGCAAACTGGTGTTCAGCTGCATTCAAAACATGATGCAAAATGTAATTGATTTTGGCCAATTTCTTCTTTTGGTTCACTGACAGCATGGGGCTAATGTTTCGGTTGGCAGTAACAGCAGCAGGGGCTTTCATCAACACTATTCAGTGCAGACAGCTTGATATAATTTGTTAAATTTTGCACATAAGCTTTTAACTGCCCTGGGTCTCAGTGGTCTGTTAGTCACTAACATAATTACACTGCACCACAATTATAATGTGCATGGGTAGGTTCTGCAATGTCTGTCTGTCTGTGTGGGCCTGCTTGGCTGGCCACATCTCTGCATGGCATACTTTTCTTAAAAACACCAGTGCAACTGTGGTACTGGGATGCTTCAGCCCAATGCAGAGCCTTTTGAAGTCCCTCCATTGAGTTAATAAATACTGAACCATATACCTGAGTGCCTGTAAATTGTGTATTAATATATATCACACAAATGTTTTACCGAAACATTTGCAGCAACATAACGATTTTACACAGGGAGACCAAGCCAGTGCTTTCTTTGATGCCCTACTTAAGCTGTAAACTGCATTTAAAGATGGCTTTGAGGTGAGTACTTACCTAAAAACCTGTGTAATGTAACCATGTCTAACTGGAAATGGTGAATAAGTCCATGCACATTGAAGAGGTGACAAAGCAGTGTTACAAGACTGTTTCCTAAAAGCAGAAAGGAACAGCTGTTAGATTCCCTTAACACGTAGCTACAAAACAAGCAAGACTAAGAATCTTGGTAATTTTCTATTAGCCAGCTCCTACCATCTTAGTGATAACACACTCAAAAGTGTCACTATAAAGCTACTCAAAAGTATCTTACATAAATTACCCCTGTATATAAACAAGATTTGAGGGTATGGCTGTAGTGGTGGAGTGTGTCCTGGGTTCAGCAGTAGCAGCCATTTTTCTCCTTCTTGGTAGCTGGTGCAGTGCAGTGTTTTGACTTTCAGCCTGGGAACAGAGCTGATAGTAATGTTTTGCTATGGCCAAGGACTTTGTGAGTCTCATGCTCTGCCAGGGAGGAGGGGAAGCCGGGAGGAGGCAGAGACAGGACACCTGACCCAAGCTAGCCAAAGAGCTATTCCATACCACAGCACGTCATGCCCAGGATGTAACTGGGAGTTAGCCGGAAGGGCTGGGGACTGCAGGGTTGGAGGAGGTATGGGTCAGAGCTTGGTCAGGGTGGGAGGGCGAGTTATCGGTCGACTGGTAGTGAGATGTTGTATTCTCTTCCCTTGTTATTTCCTTTATCATTATTATCATTGGTGGTAGCAGTAGTGATTTGTGTTATACCTTAGTTACTAAACTGTTCTTATCTCAACCCGTGGGAGTTGCATTCTTTTGATTCTCCTCTCCGTCCCTCTGGGAGTAGGGAGAGGGAAAGAAGGGGGGGAGTGAGTGAACAAGTTACCTGACTGGGTTTAAACCACGACAAGTGCCATTCTTGTCTCTAGATGCCGTAAGGTCACATTTGCTGTTTCAATTTGATGCAGAAGGCAAACTGACATGGTTTTAACTGGAAAACTTCTGACAGGCTTGTCTGAGAACCACATCACCTTCCTAAGCCAGGTCTACCTCCAGAAACCACAGAAAGGAGAATGGCTTTTCTGCCACTTCAGTTTGCTATATTTTAATAATTGATTACTCAGAAATCAGCAGTTTGTAGCTCAATTACAACTGCATCTCATAACAATGATGCAGACAGGAAACACGAATTGCACCAGTTACGGTCTCCAGTTCCACTGTAGTGTTAAATCTGTCCTTATTGTGAACCCAATACTGGGGACACTAGCAAAATTGTGCCTAACTAGTATTATATGATCAAATATACATACACAGGGTATTTTTAAAAGTTTGCACTGCAAAATTCAACAGCAGTGCTTCCAGAAAAGTTAGAAAAAACCACCCAAACCAACCAAAACATAAAACATAAAAACAGTGCTTGAAGGGAGTCTTTTCTTATTTAATGTAACTCAGGAAAGAAAATAAATAGATGTATGAAGAGTACATGGAAGCTTACTTGGCCTGAGCTACTGAACAGGGGTGCAGAAAGGTAATTTAGAAGAATTATGCTTTTGCTCCCCTTGCCATTTGCAGTCCCACCCATTCTTCACTGCTAGTCACTCAGTTGAATTACTCTCTAAACCAACCTTTTTCTACACCTTCTTCCCCTTCCAAACCTAATTAGATTGGGGGTGAGGAATGAGAAATCTCCTTCCTAAGAAAGCAGAAATGTGTGATCATGGCCTCTTTAGTCAGTTACCTGATCAAGAGGTATTGCCTAGACATTGGGGTGTGTGTGGTGTTACAGGCATATATTTAGACAAAACATTTCACAGATTTTTACTTTCTTAACGAATTTCCTAATTTTTGCTGATGAACAGAAGTAAGGATATCTTTAGTTGAAGGTATATCATATTGATAGAAATTGACTGATTATCGACATCTGAAGTTATTGACCAATGTATTCAATAGGTATATTTAAAGTACTTTTGGAATTTCCCAGGTAAGGAAACTGAAACACCTCCTTGAAAAGGAGACCATAACAAATGCAGGAGATTAGGTAAATACAAAACCACACTCTAAACATTACCCTAGTGTTCAGGAAAAGCCTGAAAATGTTCAAGGATATGATCTGAAGAGAAGTTGATTGTGTGTAATTTCTCTTCAGTAATCTAAACTGGAAATGTTTAGCAATCAATTAATTAGGGATTTTTAGAACAGTGATATGTGAGAGACACTAAAAGAAAACATTTTTGAAAATTACTTACCATTTGTCAAGCGGTCAAACAAGAAAATGTCAAAATCCCACATTCCCACTTTGGACAGCATATGCTACAAAAAACAAATATGAAAAGGCAAATGACTGGTATGTCAAACTGTAAAGCAGATATAAATTATTATTCTACGTTCATCAATTATAGGATTGATTGCTGCTGCTTTCAAGTTTTGTTTGGGAAAGCTATAGAGATATATTTGAAATATCAGGCATCAGGAACTAAGTTTACCTCTACTGCATAAAAACCTGTATCATTTGCACTTCTAACTGAGGAGGTTTTGAACTTGACACTAAAACTACTTTCTAAATAGAGCTTAAAACATGGAATAATACAAATCAAAATATTATGAAAATATTCCCTTTTATTGCACAACTTTTTCTTGTTCTTTCGTGTCCCCAAATCAATTCAGTACAAATTCTCTTAGGTTTTTATTACAGTAAAACACAATCTTAGCTCTCACAGTGAATATGAATTACATTTTGCTAAACAAACCAATACAGAGGAATAGCTTTTATAAACTAAGATAAAGTGCTTCTGTGAAGCCCACTCAGCCATGCATAAGAATCTATCATTATCACCATATACAGTGTTTTCACAGCTACATCAGTCCAGTCGAGAGAATGAGTCTGGACTAACTGTATGACCTATGTGTGAATGAAATGTGTGTTCACTCCCATAGTTTAATCTATATTCAAACCAGTTCTGGATTCTTAATTACTTTTTAACACCTGATTTGTAATCTTCTCTTGCAGAGAATAAGAATTGCCTAGGCTCACAATCCCAATCAGTTGTCCAAGTTTTGTTAGAAAATACCATCCAAAGTAAGTATGAAAGCTGTAAAATAAGAGAACAGTATTTTGATTCTTGTGAAGTTCTTTACAGTGACTGTTCCTTGTTTCCTAGTCTTTGCCATTATGGAGAGCTATTCTGGGTTGCCTAATAGCTGCTCCATACCAGCTGAGAGATAGTTGTCTTGTTTCAAGTGGATGAACTAAATCCTGTCTCAAGGCCACCCTTACTTAAATTGGTGACTTAGCCAGGGATCCTTCACCCTTTAATAAATCCAGATTATAATTTCAGTTGACAGAATATGAAAATGCTGAATACATTTAGACGCTTTCTTGTTGCTTTGAGACTAAGCCTTTAAAGCTGTAACTGTAAAAGAGGAATTGACAGCCTGCTGTGAGGCAGGCAAGTAACGTAGGTCATTTAAGAAAGATTAGCCATACATTTGTTTATCTGAAGACTGAAACAAACCCAACACTCTCTGGAGAAATGGAGATGTGGAAACCTGCCTTACCCTTGCTTGCCCAAGGTAGTCCTCATCCAGTAGGTACAGAGAGGCTTGTGGTACAATTCCACGCAGTAACCGGGATGCATGGAAATACCTCTGGAAACTTAACAGTCTTTTCACTTTCTTCTTGGTGCCAATTTCCCCTGAAAGTGTAGAATCTGTGAAAAGCAAGCAGTACCAAAACCATGAAAACCCAAGACGAAGGATGACATTCTCAATTAATGGGAGAAATAGCAAAGACTTTAAAATAGCAAAAAATTGTAAAGTTCACGCCTCTTGCCAATCTACATGAAGAATTCAAATTCCTGCATTTCAGCATAATATAAATGTTTATTTCAGAAAGGATATATGTTCCAATAAAAAAAAGTACTAAAGTGAGCCTTGGAATATCTGAATTCAGTACACTGCCTGCCACGGACTTTAATGTGATCTAGGCTATGTCACTGGGGTTGATATATCACCTAACTAGCTGTCTACAGGGAGCCTAAATGACTAGGCAGAGTCAGGTATGGAAAAGCTGCTCCTAGTCTTCTGTGCCTCTGTTCCCTAGCTATACAATTGAAAATAGCATTAGCTTGCCACCTCACAGGACTGTCACTGGAACATATTAAAATTACATAGTGCTAGCATACAAGGTGATCTTCAATATAAAACCAAAAAAGTGACACCAGAAGAGACATCAAAATACAGTTTAAAAGCACAGATGTAAGACCCACTTTTGGAAAATGAGAAAATGGAGAGAAAGAAGCAAGAATAGGTTAATAATCCTATTGTCTGGTGCCCTTCCTACATATAAAGGCAAATTATAAACGACAGAAATATTTCAGTTCTACAATTAGGAAAGCAAGCATATTCAGGCAATACACGCTTTTCTGATTACACAAGAGAGCATGTTCTTTTTACTCAGTACGAGGACAATTCTAATTCCCTAATGCTGTATTAAGAGATTTTCATATAGGGCTAAATGTGGCACAAAAACAAAGGCAGTTTTTATACAGTGATTAAATCAGTAATTAGAGTAATTAAATAACCTTACTGTTAGTAAGAAAAATATGCAGGTTTCCTAAAAATGACTATAAATTTAGATAATTTCATCTGAACTTTTAACAGAACCTCACACGCAGTTGTGACGTTTTCATTTCACAGTCTGGTACAAGTTTTGGAAAACAGAAGGACAGAAACTGGACAGTTGTTTGAAGGTAGTAGGATTCAATGCAGTTTCATCTGTAAGAGGAACCTTGTAAGAAACTGAAGATTAAGCGCTCCTTTGAGAGAACAGTAATGATTGCTTCAGGTAAGAAGCTGCATAGCAATTTGCTGGATTTAAGGTTTAAAGAAAGGTTTAAGAACTCAGGAAAAACACCCACAGGCTTCAGATGACTCTTTATATTCTGCTGTTCCCTTTAATGAAAAAATGCTGAGCCTTTGTTCTGCTGTGAAATCAGGCTTGACTTTGTATGCTGGTTTTATGAGTAGTATTATTCTGAGAGATTTTTCAGAGAAGTCATTAAGGGTTTTTTTGGATCAGTATTTGAGTTCTCCAACAGCAGATGGGAGCACCTTCTGTAGCAAATCTCTTCCTTAGGTAATCTAACAGCTACTGAGCAACACAAACTCAGTAACAACACCACCACCAAAAAAAATACATAGCAAGTATCAATAATTAATGTATTTTCTTACGCCTGTAAGTCTCACACCTTTTGTGGGCAGCCCAAAGACGCCACTGAGTTTTAATAATGTAAAAGCACAAAATAATTTTACTGCAGCTTGACAAGCCATGTGTTTTCAAGAATGCGAACAGTAACAATGTCACTACTGTACCAGCCTGAAGGTTGGAGTTTCATTTATGATGTGCCAGCACCTGCCTTAATTCTCTCACACATTTTAAAAGCTGGAACAATTTCATGGCCCATTGAAGGAGTAACTAACATAGGTGCTAACAGTTACCCAGTGACAGCGTCATGTGGAGGAACTGGTAGGCTTGTTTTCACATTTCTTTGCATTTATATAGTGCTGCTAAGAGATTGCTAGCATTCAGCTTAATTCCTAGGTAACAAAACAGTCTTAAAACGAATTAACTTTTTAAACTTGTGTCAGCTGTTTCTCAACTTTCCAATTTTCCTAATTCCATCTTTGCCTCCAAACCATCACTACTTTCAGGTAACAAGTTTAAAGTATGGAAAAATTCCCTTTTGTACGTTAAAAATGAACAGCTGCTCCAACTGATTTTTATCTAAGTTAATATTTGGGTTTTTTTTCAGCTAAAGACAGAGAGCTACATTCCCCTAAACTCTCTTTAAAACTCACATGTAAGCATTGCTGTGGGGTGATCTGAAGGTGAAGGTTTGGCCCGAGTCCCAGCAAGCAGCTGTGTGTTGGATTATGAAGAAGTGGTCATTTTATCCTTTTGATTACCAGACTATTTCAGTAGCACAAATGCTTACCAAACGACAAACACATCAGGTTGAAATAAACGCTTGCTTATTTTGAAACTTATTTTCTGAATTGAACCATCAAACTTGTTGCCACTTCTTTGTCACAGTCCTCCATAAGGTTGTCATGGGTCTCAACCCTAATCATCGGCAGACAGTGTCTCTGAAACATTACTTGCTGCTTCAGTTGAGCACTGTATTACAACATATAATGCAAAAAGACTTTTCACAATAATCTTTTTTTCTGTATTTTGTGTTCTGTATTTTCATTCATAAGGGAAGAAGTTCATTATACTGATAAAGAATGGTAGGAGACATATTTTCAATATTGGGCTCCTGACAGAACAGCCCAAATCCTGCCGAGCAGACTATCCGCATGAAAACTCTGGATGTTGATTTAAAGGATATCATATTAATATTGAATCCTTTGGGTCATTTCAGTAATAATTGATTTGTCTATGAATCACAGGACTTGTCAGATGATTGCTATGACTCATAACAGATTATTATGACATCCACAATAATGAACCTTATTATGATGGTGTCTTGCATAAAAGTGCCCCTGCTAAGCACAACACATCCCAGACTATTATAATCTCATCAGCATTTTCTCTTTTGCCTCCCAAAATCAGTGTTAAACACAAAAATACAGCCATATGAAGTTGAGAGAAAAAGGATGGTTAAAAAGACGAACAAAAAGTGAAGAAGCTGAAAACGCAGGCTAAAATTCTGTCCTCAGCTCAGCAGTCACACCTGAATCTCCCAGCAGCCAAGAGCCATTCCTAACATGCGATCCACCAGCTGACACGAACTCAAGATGCATTTTTAAGATGAAATTCAGGGTTTACGTGAATGACTTACAGTAATACACTGAACACACCACTTCCTTACTGACAACTGTAAATCTCAATTTCAATTATAAATACAAAACTTCAGTGACAACACCTTATGTAAGTCATACAGTGACTTTGAAACATAAAGAGTTATTGATAGCTACTTCTGACTAGGTTAAATTGTATTACAAGTAAATGAATAAAAATATCATTGCAGATATCACTTGAACTTGTGCTATGGAATTATGGGTACTAAAACTTATGCTGTATTATCTAGTTAAAGAACACAAGCTGCAAGGCTCAAATGGGAAGACTTAGTAATTATGTTCAATTTTGAAATGAACATGAAAGACAAACAAAAATGTCTTTTGCTTACAGCCATAAAACTTCCCTTGAGAACTGTGTTTATCTTTAATCATCATGGCAACTTCTGAATTTTTTGTTTACCTAAAAAAAGCATGATCTTTATCTTTTCAAAGATGCCCATTCTCATATCCTGCAGAGTTACTGCCTAGCACAGTGGTTGGAGAGACCCTTCTTTGTATACTGAACACATTTATTGTATGAAATACATACACATATTGTATGAATTAAATACACATTTACAGAAGCATCTGTGTAAGCATTCCTCACAAAGCTTAATTTCTACCTCTAGACACACAAGGCAGCCTGAGCTCACAGCGTATCTTCTGTTTTAGCAGGCAGCAAAAGCGGTTGCATTTTTCTTTAGGTGATTTGATAGAGGTATACATACTATCAGGCCATGGATGATGTCTGGATACAGCACGTGGCCCTCAAGAGGTTAATAAGCTATAGGAATCAATGGTTGCTTTCTCTCTCCTAACAAAGTTCCTCCAGTTACACAGATCTGCTCACCTTAACACGGTCTATGGCACACTATACCCCAAAATCTGTTATTTCAGGGAAATAGGTTTCCTGCACTAGGAACTGCTACCCGTTTTCTTTCATATTTCTTTTGCAGTGCTGCACTAGTGCATGCCCACAGGCAGTATGAATATAAAAATGACGGAGGTTATGTTAACAATGGTTGAGTTAACATCCAGAAACAATCACATAAATCAAATTTTGACAAGGATGTACTTAACACTGCAGCAGACATTCATTACATTGTTATTGTTATTTCAAAGTAAACAAACTTGGTTATACATTCAAATAAGGCTTTGAGTTTTCCTCCACAGTATCACCTTTTTTCATTTTACTGCACATCAGAGTACAATAAAAACAGGTCAACCAGCAGCTGAGTGGATAACATCAGGTTTATTAATTTTCAAAAGCCAACCAATTCAGAAGCAGAAAATGTTTTTTCCTCTTCTTTCCAAAAGGATGAAGAAGAAATCAGGTCCTCGAGCACCTGCCTTTGACTCATATGGTTCACAACACTCTTTTCCCTGTTCCAAGGATGCCGAAACATTCTGTACTCAGCTGCCGCTCTACAACTGTATGCCTGAAGAGTCAGGCAGGATTGGTAGAAAAGTGCTGGAATATCTGGAAGACAAGGTGAGAGGATCAGTCTTGCAATCTACTGTCCAGACATTTTGCAGACAGCAAGGACTGTGGGAAACAATTTGTCTCAAGTCCTATACATTACAGAGGTAATTTCCTGCACTGGTTCCTGCCTTGACAACTGATTAGAATGCTTTTATTTGAAAGCCCAAGAGGTATGTATGTGGCTTACGAGGAATAACTGGTGTTTGTCCAATTTTTGTGCGTCAAATCATGCCAGGCATTTAGATAACCTTTACTGAAGTCCTGTTTGGCATACTCATTGCGTGACTTGGTTGCTAACCTTTTCTTATGAAGAAGAGTGCATAGCACTGATGGTAGAATAAAACTGCTGTGCCTTCTTAATATCTTTTTACAATATGGATTTGT